ATATCTCCCGCACCCTTATAGCTATCGAGACGCAACCACCCCTATGCACGAATGGAGACTTGGGGCTACCACCACATACAAACACCATTCACGTGCGATGTGTAGTTTTGGAGAAAAAGTGAAATATAGGGACACACACGTCCATTTTTATATATATACTAGCTGAAAGGACCTGCTTCGCTGGGTTTTTATTTGTTCGTACATTTGTATGTAATATAGTTTTTTTTATATATATAAAAGACTGTTTTTCTAAGTAATCTAGAATCTAGCTGCAAGGACCCGCTTCGCTGGGCAAAAAGTAACGATAGTGAAGATTAAGACAATTACATTATAGCCAATCTTACCCGTTTTCACAGAATGCAAGAATTAAGTCCCCTGTTTCCGGACTAATTAGAGAATTTTTACGTCCAGTCAAACGAACTATTTTTAACGTTTCTGGAACGTTTACAATCATTCTATAATCGAACCAATATTCGAATTTTATGTTTAAATTAAATTCGAATATTGTTCGAATTAAATTCGAACAAATTCAAACATAACATTCGAAATAGAAAACCACTTTCAGCCCCATATCTCCCGCACCCTTATAGCTATCGAGACACAACCACCCTGGTGCACAAATGGAGACTTGGGGCTACTACCACATACAAACACCATTCATGTGTGATGTGTAGTTTTGGCGGAAAAGTGAAATATAGACACACACACGTCCATTTTTATATATATATATAGACAGATAATATACTTTAAACCCAGATAAAATAACAAGACAGATATTGAGTTTTTTAATGTTTTGAAGTAAAGTGCAGAAACAAGATTTTGTAACAGAAAAACTTGGAATAATTGTAAGACTTGGAATTAAAAATTACACACTCATTGATTAAATGCAAAAATAATAAAAAGTCAGACATTAAATTACAAAAAAAAATTATAATTCACAGTGATAAAAATCTAAATAATCATGTCTAAATTTTATTTTATGTAATTATTAAGTAAAAGAAAAAAGTATGCATACAAGAGTTCATTGCTTTATATTAAAAGTTAAAATACCTTAATTTTATAATTTTTGATTTTTTGATTTTAAAGTCCTAAAATCTCTTGATCTGATCCCAGATCAACATACATTTCTTCTTTTACATTTGTAAAAACATTAAGAAATAGTAATATTTAAGACATACTAAATAAAAATAGAATAATATGGTAACTTTCATTTAGAACATTTCTCTGCACATTTTATATAATTTTTCTCCAAAATTTAAAAAAAACCTTTAATATACATAACAAAAGAAATTACAAGAAACAGATTTGGTCTTAGAAATTTGTTATATCTTGTCAGAGTTCTTTTACGTTGTATCATCTTAAGCATTGTCTCGCTTTTGTATAAGTTTTCTTGTCATGCAACGCTCTACAAATGCAACTAACCTTTGAAGTTTGGCACAATGTAAATCGGTTGCATCTCGACGTCGGTAACCAGAATGTGGAATAGGAACGGAATTATGCCATCCGCATCGCAATCTCGACAAAAATAACTCCCCCCGCCAAATTTTTTATGATATTTCTCCAACACATCAAATACGATAACATTTAATTAAACTCTTAGCATATTGATAAAGAAAATTTCCACAACTCTAATTTTGACTACTTTTTGTCAATTTTTTATACCAGTCATTTCTTACAGGCTCAGTTGGATAATACTATAAAACAAATGCATTTTCTTTTTTTGTTAGCATAAATTTAAATACTTTTTTAATTAAGAAATATTTATATCTGTGATAATGGACTAAAAATAATTAGCATTATTCAGTCTTACAATAGGTTATTTGATAGACAAGTCTCATATTTAACATATTACTCACACAAAAACCATTCATAGAATTAAATCCTCTACAATATCGTCCATTATATTTTATTCTTAACCAATTATTCGATCCGACTTAATCTATGAAACAAAACATTAAATTCCATTCGAGACACATCTGTCAGAATTACAAAATTAAGAGAGGTTATGGTATCATATAAAATATGCATCAAATAGCGAGAAACAAAGTCAAATTATTAAATTTTATGACGAGCATTGAAAATTTCAAATTATTTTTCAAAGTTTTTTTACGCTCGTCATAAACATGGCAAGAATCACATAAAATATTGTCACATTATACACGTACTAGCGATTTACATCCATTTTTATTATTTTTACATTATTCAATTACCTACTATACCCATTTATGAACAGAATTGAGCATCTACTGTACATTTAATTTAATTAAAATTTAAAATTTTAAAAATACTAAAAAATAAACTTTGAACTAATTTAGAACAAAAAGCTTTAGCAAGAGAATCGACACGAAGGAGACAGAAAAAAGACCATTTGGAGTTATGGAAATTTGGAATTTTGTCTTTTAATCATATTCGACAACAATTTCAATTGGTTTAGAATTTTCTACTCTATCGTTAACTTCAGAAATGTATTTTCTCATATACTAGAACAAAAAAATTTATAATTTTTCCAAATATTTAGAATTATCTCGGAAAGGAACGACTTTAGAAATATAATTCTCGGAATCGTACCCAACGAAAGCACGGGGCCATAAGAAAAGAAAAATATTTTTTTAAGCATTAAAACACGATTACTAAACAAATAAGGAATTAGGCATTTTTAATTACGGATACGCAAACGGTAAACTTATTATTTTACGAGAAACGTAAAACAAGTACCGAACCGCACTTTAGAAAAAAGTTAAATTAAGTACTCGTATATAGAAGTTACTTAAATAAAAATTCGGCATAAGTTAAAACAAGAATATCCAAAAGTCAAAATTAATGTAGCGAAACTGCATTTTAGTCACGAGAGTGGTAGTGAGTTATAACCGACTACTATTCATTCACATATAGAATAACATCAATTTAACAGATTACTACAAAACTCTTATATACATGTATTGCAACGTATTGTATACATATTATTGGGACTAAAAAATGATTTTAAGGATAAATTCTTGTCTGTAAAGCAAAAATATTTAGAAAATTACGAATTTATATGGAAATAACTTGTACCGAGTTACGTCTTGTATCGGGAACAAAAGTTAAAGTAACAAACTGTTTTCTACAGATATTTAAAGAGAAACGAAAAAGATTTAATTCTCGATTGGCGTGGAATTGGGAAGAGGAGCGTGGCGAGTAACTTACCTTTTCTTCTGCGTGCTGAATGATTTCCGTTGACAAGAAGCGAGACGACTTTTGTCTGTCGACAAACTAACCTCGGCCACAAAAAGGGAACGACCTCCGTTGAACTCGAGAGGACATCCGCCTTCTTCGTTCTCGTCACTGGCAGCACTCGAACACACTCCGATCTCGTCCGTGTTTACCGTAAATATCACCGCGTTATTGGAGGAAAACAAAATCGCCACCATCGATCGTCCAATCGCCCTTCCCGACACACTTACCCCAACGAATTACGTCGTACGTCTTAAAAATATATTATTATTTTACGTAATTCGTACGCTTCTCGCCCGTTATTAGTATTAAAATATATTAATTAATTATTAAAATTAAAAAACGATCAAAGTCCAATATTTATATTTATCCAGGAATATTAAATGGCTAATTCGTTTCGAAATGGACACGGACTTTTATTAAACGAGGCGCGATTGGTTAGTTTGGAAGGACGTAACGGCGTGCCGGCCAACCGGAGACGGCGGTGTAAAATAACGCATTTGGGACGACAGTGGGAAGTTGAAAGCGATGAGTTCTTACGCGTTCGGCGGGAGATGTTTACAAACTCCACGTTAAATGTTCGTGTTTTGTAAGAACAAATATATTTTACCGGAATCTTTTTTAAATTAGTCGAAAAATGTATATATCGACGGTAAGCATGCAATCGTCGGAACTGTGTATGACGTTAATTATAGCGGTAAATCTGTTATCGACGTCCGTGCTTGGCGGCGAAGAGGCCAAGAGCAAGAGATTTTCGTCTTTAAAGAACGATAAAGAAAATATTATGAATTTTTACCGTGTTAACGACAACACCATCATTCGAACTCAGGACTCGAGAGCCTTAGGTGCGAAGTATTTGAACGAAACCGAATTACCCACCAACGAAGATTGTTTATATTGGTGTTATCGTGTCAATCGATGTAACGTCGCCGTCTATAAAGAAAAGGTACGCGTTCTTATACCTACGTTTATTTATTAAAATGGAGATTAATACCTTGCGTATAGTAATAATAAACCCTAATGTATCGTCGACGGGGCGTCTGGGGGAGGAGAGCCAGAGAAAACGGTAGTTTGGAGCCTGTAGTGATTTCTACGCCCATAAAATTAACGTTATTTTGGTACGGATTCGGTACGACTACCCCTCCGGACCGGGGTAGTCGGGACCTCGTCACTGCCGTGGACACTTCCCGCCGGAGTAAAAAGTTAAAGGAACCGGATGCGTGATGCGGCATGTGCGTACTCTATGTCTTGCAAAGGGTCCGCGTCGGACCTTTGGTTCCTTCGAGTTTTTTAATCCCGCGGGCTCGGTTGCCCCATTCGGAGCTGCGATCTTACGGTTGTGTTTGTATCTGGGAAAAATCTTCGAGACTGGTTTTTATTGATGGAGAAACGTTCTACCCTTGTTTGTTCAAAAGACGAAACGGAACCCCCTTGTCTTCTGGGTGAATGGCCGATGCTCCGGTCGCCAAATACTCTGTCTTTGACTCGTGTGTTATCTGCCCCACGTGCACTTATCGTTAGCTTAATATAAATAATGGTAAATATTTGAATTTCAGATTTGCCGTTATACTTCTGATGTGGTTTTTATGGAAACGATTAGTAAAGAATTTAGTATATCTTTATAGCATTATGAGTAAAAACATCGTTTTTTGTAACATAATACAAAAATGAACAAAACTTGATGCTGTGGCCAATACAGTAAGACCCCACTTAATGCTGCCTCGCTTAACACTGATTCGATATAATGCCATCTGCTCGAAGCCTAAAAAAAAGCTCAAAATTTACACTGATTTAAATTGTCGTGGCATTTTATTGATTCATACATAATACGATTATTTACGAACACAAACTAGTCAGAAAAAGGTGGCAAAAATGTGTACTTTCTTTAAATATATGTTTGTTTGGTGCAATTTTTGAAAAAATATAACATCGTGAATGCCATAGGCAATATCGGCTTCGCTTGGCAAGAATTAACTGATGCAGGAGAAGTGTGGAAGAATTTATGGTTGAAGGTATCCAAGAATTCTCGACGAGAAGAGCCTATCGCTGTATCATTAGGTTGACCAACCTCAACCTAATCGATACAGCAAGACTAGGAGATGTAGACAAGCAGGATATTGAGGAGTTAATGCAGGTTTCTGGTGAGAGTCTTGTCAACGACAACCTTCAAGAACTGGCAGAACAAGAAATCCACGTAGGAACTGGAAAATAGAGATTCTGAAAACGAAGAACCCAAAAAATTTCTCTACAGATTTCCTTAGTAAAAGTTTTGTAACGATAACCGAAATCATTGATCAAATTGTAGTGAACAATCTAGATTTTGAAAGGAGTGCAAAAGAAAAATGAGGCGTTTTGGATGCGATCTTCTGCTACCAACATTTGCTTAAGGAAAGAAAAAAGCAGCAAATGAAAGTTTACGACTTTATTGCAAAAAAACAAGAATTTCAGAAAAGTCGGGACCTTTGTCACAAAAAATGAACTATTAATATGTTATTATACATTTCTGTGTGCATATGTTTATGTGTTATTTAACATATATTATTTATAAAAATAATTTAAAATCAAAGTAACATTTTTTTATTTTCGGTTGCGTGTTCCCCTATCTCTATTTACTCTATGTTAAAATGACCTCATTTAACACTGTTTTGTTTTGCACTTTGTCGTCTAGGTACGCATTTCCCGTGCTAAGTGGGTCTTACTGTAATTTAAAATGAAATGTCGCTCGTTTAGTGAAGCTGATTTAATGTGCTGAAGACGACCGGAGAGGGGTTGAAAATGCTGTAATATTAGTAAGCGCATAATTAGTTTTGGTAGAAGTGTGTCTGGGTAGCCTTAATGGTGGTACTTCAGAGACTGGCATTTAATTGTTTAGCCCGTGTGACCATGCCAGCTTCAAGTAGCCTGCTTGACCATTTGATGTTATATAATTTTAGTGGTGTGGGGGCACGCGCCTACATGCGAAGCGTGTAGAATAGGCAGTAGACTGATATGTGTTAAAACCTGACCTTTTCACATTAGGGGCTACCTAGTGCAGTTTTCCCTTAGTTTCTAAATGTTACTGAATAACAACCATTTTGTTTTAATTATAATACAAAACCTGTTATTTTGATAGATTTTATTGTGTTTTCTTCATCGATTCTCTGCCAGTCAATCCGGTCGATTTGCTGATAAATTCGGCAGTTTTACAGAATGCAGTGTGGATTTTCCATATAGAAAATGTTGCCACCCGCTTGACTTGGGGGTTTAGTGTTAATTTTAGTTCTGCTTGTTTTTAAACATTGGCAATTGATTTTGGTTAGTGTAATCTTTGACTGTCTCATTCTCTACTCTTTGTAATTCTTATTTCTTGTGCACAAAAGTACATAAATACTGCTTTCTAGAACAAAAACATATTTTACCTATTGGTTTTGAGCGCTTCCATTTATAGGGGCCTTGTCACAGCTTGGTGGATATGAGAGCACTTGAAAACATTAGGTAAAATAAATGTTTATTTTTAAAAGCAATGGTTTTTTTTTATTTACTAATTAAAATTATTAAATCATTTACTGTTTAAAATTTCTAAAATTTAAACTTTTAGAAATTTTAAACAGAAATTATAAATGACTTTGGTTTGGTTAGGTTTGATAGTGTAAGGCAACACTACCTGTGGCCAAGCTGCCAAGGGGAGAGGCCTCCTGGGAAGACTTTCTATGGAAAATGCACCCTATTTGGGTATTAGAGAGACAAATAAAATTCAGTAAACTTCTTAAGGCAGGTGCAAACCCACAACTGACTACTGGTGTTTGGTGGTTTTATCCATTCTGCCACCAGTGAGCCAAAATCAGAAATGATTTTATTATTTCTACTAGCTGCAAGGACCTGCTTCGCTGGGTTTTTATTTGTGGGCAAAAAGTAACGATAGTGAAGATTAAGATAATTACNTTGCATTGACATATAAGATGTTACAAGCACCTTGACACCACAAAACTACAATTGTTCACTACAATAGTTGCAATATGTCTCTTTATTCTGCTAGTTTAAGTGCTTGAGTATTCTATCTGCCAAAGTAGCAAATTGTCAGATTTACACACAAAAATAAAAGAAACAGATTAAATATGAGTTTATAAAGAAACAAATAGCTGGCAATACTATTGAAATGACATAAATTTTAATAGTAAGAAAATTTGAATACTTTTTGTTCTTGATTTCTAACAAACTATACATCACATTTCCATATTATTCATAATACCGAATGTTTAATACATATTCTGTATTTGCATATATTAAAATTGATATACACTTCAGTAGCTTTTATATATATATATAGATTAATACACTTTCCCGACCTGCTAACTTTGTATATCTCCAGGGTTTCCAGGGCCCAGATGTGGTCTGTCTGGAACGAATTTCTTATAAGGCTGGTGTTTTGTAAGTCAGCCTGCACTTCAGGGTTCGTGGCATAGGTTGATGGCCTTCTTTTCCCAATGTCATATTTGTGTTCAATGATTCTTTTCTGTACAGAATGTTTGGTCAACTGTATATATACCAAATCCCTGTAGAACCTGTGGTCCCTGATTGAGACACTATACATCCTGGTGCTCTAAAATTATCCGGTGTGTCCTTTGCATTCCTCAGTAATGAGTGTGTTGTTTATGTTCTTCTGTATGCCAGTTTGGTGCCCTTCTTTGTGCAATTTCCCTATATAAGGAATGCAAGTTTTTGTTGTACTCTGACTGTGTGTTTTGCATTAGGGTCTTGTTCAGGATCCATGTTGGTACCCCTGGTCTGTAGTGATGTGTTGCCTATAGAAGTCACGAGCCAAATAACGAATTAGGTCTTTTTTGTACCCATGTCTTGTGGCAATGTCTTCTAGGTGTCTAAGTTCCTTGAAGAAGACATTGCTGCAAGACATGGGTACAAAAAAGACCTAGTTCGTGGATATAGTGTTCCAATCAGGGACCACAGGCTTCAAAGGGATTTGGTATGCATAGGGTCAATTCAATTCAATTCAATTTATTTACGGAGGCATAAATGCATACCTTGGCTCTGCTATAAGCACTACCAAGGAAATAAAATACAGGAAATGTAAACAAACAACAGTATGTACATTGTAGATTCCATGCAGAACTTTAAGTTAATAGATAAAATCNAGAATGTTGTTGTTTCAAAAATGTGTCCCATATAAAAAAAGTTTGGCTAAAAAAATCTTCGATAATAGCACGACGATGGCTCCTGAAAGAGGCCGAAAACGTTTGCTTTAAGCATATATCGACTTTGCTGGAAACAAATGAAAGATATCTGTAGTATCAATTTGTACAGCATTTCTAGCTGGAAGGAATAATAAGTTTTTATGTTTTAATAATTTTTTACTTATTAGGACTATAATATGTATGCAATAAGTTTTAGAATGTATTTAACTTGAGTTTTTATTGTAACTTTAACTGTATTTAAATTTTGAGTCTTTGTTACTTTGCTTTCCAAAGATGTGGCAAATGCTCCAATTAATTATTAAATCTGTTTCTGATCTTTACAGATTGTAATTTATTTAAAACCTTGTTTTTTTATTCATATTTTGTTTGTAAATAATGATTTTTTAATCACATTTAATTATTAAAATGAAAAATCTTAAATTTATTCAGAAAATTGTAGAAAAGAAATAGAAAATAATTGAAATGGTACTAATGATGCAATATTGAATATGGCTTTTTTCATCTTTATAATATTTTAAAGTCAAAATTACTATATTTTTTGAATAATTATTTTGAGAATATTTTTTATTTAAATGATAATTCTGGACATTGAAAGCATTACAATTTGTTTTTCTACCGTTTTCTGTTGTTTATTACTGTGAGGTAATAAACAATGTATAATGAAATAAGATTGTTCTATAGTCAACATCCGGTTTGGTTCCTTGTTGGCACTTCATAGTTAAACACTTACTTTTTAAGTTTGCAATCAAATCATAGAAAATGTATGTAAAACTTTTTTAAAAATTTAAAACTGTAAGATGTTTAAGAAATTCTTAAAGTTGTAAGTTGGGAAAGACATTGAAACATTAGCAATACGTTCTGAGGATAAGGATAGTTCAAATAAGTAAAACTTATATATAAATCACAATATTACTGCATTACTATGTTTTAAAGAAAGAGAAATGTATTTTTAATTAAAATATCCATAAAATTGATAAATTATGGTAGCAGTAAATGTTGTAAATTATGAAAAATGAAAAATTTCTTTTGCTACCTAAAATAATTTAAATTGTAAAGAAATTTAATAACAATCACATTAAATTTATTTGAAATTGTTTTTGTTAAATTGAAACAAAATGTTCTCCGAATGTAGAATTTTTGTCTGATATTTAATCGATTCTTCTTGACCGCTCTTGTAATAGAAAATCTATATCGGCACCTATATATTATTAAACTGAATGTTAATCATTTCCCAAACTACTGGATTATTGATTGGCTATAAATTTAATTAATAATTAGAATAATTAGACATGTCACCATCTGTTGGTAATTTGATGGTAAATAATTCAAATTAATTTATGTAAATTTGGAATTCTGAAAAAGGAATGGCGTGGAGTTGAATTCAAACCTGCCATTATTATTTAATACAAAAAAATTTGACTCAAAACATTTGGATTGCATATTAAACTGGGGTTATGGATTCTAGTCTTGTTACGAATATTCTTTTAATGCATTTCTAAATTTCCCTAATTAATTAAAATTGTTCAATTATTTAAGTTAAGAATTGACAATATTGCTATTGTGGCAAATTATTCTAATTATTAAATGTACAGGGAATTAATAACTGTATAATTTAGCAAATGATTAATGCTTGACCTCTTTATTGACAATGTCACGAAATTGCCATATTAGAAGATTGTACTTTATAGAATGAAAGTTGAATTTTTTATTATTAGATTTTAACCAATATCTAATTTAAATATTAGAGAATTTGATATTCAAGTAGGTTAGTCATTGTCTATAATCAGCTTTAATAATTTTTAAACTAAATGCAGTGGAATCTGTTATCTACATCTTTATTGACACTTTAACTTATTTACTTTTTTGAAATAAGTCAATTAATAGAAATACTAAATAAAGTAATCAAATATTGCTTGATTATTCTCATTATTATTTCTAGTCTATTTATTAACTCTAAATTTGTTCTAAATACAGACTGAATTGCCATTCTATAAGAATTTCAGAATATATACAAAATAATCTCAATTTTGATTGACATACTTTACATTAAATATTGAGCCTCTGTATTTAATATTAATTGCAATCAAAGCTTCCATTTGCAAAATATATTAATTACAGAGTTTTAATAAGTTAATGATTTTAAATACAATGACTATCAGATATTGCTAAAATTTAAGAAATAAATCATATACAATAAAAATGTAAAGATCAGTTGTGTGAATATGTTAATAGTCAATAATGATATTGATTGTCTTGGTGTAACAATAGTTTATTGTTGATGTCATTGACAGTGTTGTTGTAAAGACAAAATCAACTTCTTTTAAAAATGATGCAGCTAAATTCTCAGATAGTATAAATCATATGATTTATATACATTTGTTATAGGAATCAGGTTATATAGTCAACAAGGTCAAGAAAAAAATGTATTAATCAATATTTCAATCCAAGAACATTTTATTTGAAATAAATATTATTGATAAATGGCATTGATCATTACATACATACATACATATATATATAGCTATAAGCCCAACGGTTTGCCAGATTTTCAGGCTACTTTACCACTACTATTATTAATATTAGTGGTAAAGTAGCTTAAAGTAGCCTGAAAATCCGGCAATCATTTGGGTCATTGATCATTATTTTCATTGTCTTAAGCAGGGATGGGCAACCTGCGGCCCGCAGTAATATTTTTTGTGGCCATGTTGCATAAAATATGAATAAATATATCAATTTCCCAGCTTAAGGAAGTATGCAGCAAAAATTCAAACATTATTTTTACAACTTATGTATGTGAATAGTTTTTCCACAATGAATTTAGTAAAAATTAAAACAAGAAACCGGCTAACAGATACATCAAAACTAATTTAAAACTAGCAGTGACTAATATTTAACCAAATATTTCCAATATATTACATTTACATCAGTTCCAGAAGCTAAATTACATACACTTATGCTATATATGAATAAATAATTGTGATTTACCAACTTTTTCCCCTTCTTTTCTCTTGTATGCAGCCCAAATCAGTGTAAAAGTTTTGAAATGTGGCCCTTATATAGATAAAGGTTGCCATCCCTGGTCTTAAGAATGATTCATGCATTACTGAAAGAATAAATACTGCTATAACGATATCTGTAAAGCCAAGTTTAGTAAAATTGAATGTGATTTGGGTCCTTAAAATGTTATACAAATAGATTTGTTCCATTTTTCAATTTTCATGTTGATTGTATCTGTTCTTTTTACAGTTGAAAGGGGCACCATCATGATAAGTGTTACAATGGTGTATTTTTCAAAAATAGAGAATGATGGGGTAGTTTTATGCATAATTTCTTTTCCTGCATTTTTGATAAATGCAGCTAATATGGATTCTTTGCCTTATTTGTGTAAAATCACAATTGTCTTATGACAAAATTATACCAGACTAACTTAATTTCATAACTGATATGATTTAGTTATAATTTCTTTATAGAAATATGTTAATTAGACATTAGATTTAATTAGTACCTTATATATTTTTAAGTGTTAATTATAAATTTAATAAATTATAATTTAAATTATTTTTCTATAATATTAAAAAGAAGGAAATGTTGCCATTTCTTTTAAATTTAGAATAACTAGATAAGTAGTTCATAAAAATATTCTTGGAATGAAAATTATTTATAAACAAAACATACGCAAGTTCAGATAATTGGATAATTTCAATAAATTCTAATCTTAACATTTTTATTTTAGTATCTATTATTTTAGCATTTATTCTTTATCTGCATATAATGTATCTTGATTTAAATTATAATAGTAATCTAAATATTACATTAATATTTATAGGCTAATAAAAGCTGCTATCTATTTGATTGTGGATCCCACAATGACTTCCGTTGCATGTTTACTCAGCATACATTTTATACAAGTTCCATTCTCCATGCCAACAGACATTCGCACGACTTGAATCAATGGAGTATACAAGAGAAACATGAGAATGAATTATCTCATTTGCATTTACTTTCCACAAACAAACCTCCAGAAGCCATTGCGCCGACAAATTCTCAACCCACAAGTCATCCGGCGGCAACAAATGTTACAACAAAACCTACTGCCGCTGCCGCCGTTAAGTCACAAGAAGTTTCTAACGTTGTGCAAGGTAGCAAAAACCATAATAATTATAATTTTGTATATGATCTGTACTATAAACAGAAGCCATAAAAGATTTCAAATTTTTACAATTGGCCGATAAATAAAAATCAACAAATCTTAAGTTAGTTAAGATACATAGAATATTAATTTTAAATTTATATTGTTAAAGTGAAAATAGATTAAAATCAGTATTTACTCTTTTATCTTTTTATTTTTTGTTACTTTCTAAGATCAAAACATTAAAATTTCAGATAGAAAGAAATAAAAGTAATTGCTATTGATCTGTTTAAAATATTTTTATATGAACTAGTTTTGTGTGACATATATGAATAAGTTGTTATTCTTAGTTACTTATTAAAATAATGTAAAATATACTGCACTAAAAATATTTTATCTAATTTATCTTCTTCACTTTACAATTTCTTGTTCTTTTTAATAAAAATGAATCAAAGGCATTCTTAAAGGATTTAAAGAACATAAACATGGTTGGATTTTTCTAGTTGATATTTTAAAGCTATGTTAAATTGTAATTCAGAGAAACTCTGTTGTTGTTGTATATTTTGTTTAATCTATTTATTTATTTATTTATTTATTTTTTGAAATAGTTGTTAAATTTGTATATAAATTCATATTTTGATAGCAAATTTTATTGTTTTCTTCAGTTGTGTAGTTAGTTTTTTCTAGTTTTAATTCTAAATATTATTATTATTTTCTCGTTTAACCTTTTGAAAAAGAGTTTGAAATTGATATATTATCTTTATTACATTTTTGTAGTTTAAAATTTTGTTCTTGAATTGAAATATAATTAACTTTGAAATTAAAATATAGTATTTACTTTTACAGGGTGATTCAAAAGTCACAGAAATTTTGAAAAATTAATAACTCACAAACTATTTACAGTAAGATGATGTGGTTTTCACAGAAATGCTTAGAAAAAAAGCAGGATTTTTTAGATGCAATAAAACTTTTAGTACCAAAATAGTTAAATTTCTTGCCATAGATGGTGCTGTAGCATTTGTAAATTTGTCAAAATAAGAATAAAAAAAATGTTCTTAGTGCAAGATCTTTAACAACTACACAAATTATGTAATCTTATCAAATGTCATCTATGGCAAGAAATTAACTATTTTGGTACTAAAATTTTTATTACATATAAAAAATTTCACTTCTTTCTAAGCATTTCTGTGAAAACCACATCATCTTATTGTAAATAGTTTGAGTTATTAATTTTTTAAAATTTCTGTGATATCTAATTTAAATATTAGAGAATTTGATATTCAAGTAGGTTAGTCATTGTCTATAATCAGCTTTAATAATTTTTAAACTAAATGCAGTGGAATCTGTTATCTACATCTTTATTGACACTTTAACTTATTTACTTTTTTGAAATAAGTCAATTAATAGAAATACTAAATAAAGTAATCAAATATTGCTTGATTATTCTCATTATTATTTCTAGTCTATTTATTAACTCTAAATTTGTTCTAAATACAGACTGAATTGCCATTCTATAAGAATTTCAGAATATATACAAAATAATCTCAATTTTGATTGACATACTTTACATTAAATATTGAGCCTCTGTATTTAATATTAATTGCAATCAAAGCTTCCATTTGCAAAATATATTAATTACAGAGTTTTAATAAGTTAATGATTTTAAATACAATGACTATCAGATATTGCTAAAATTTAAGAAATAAATCATATACAATAAAAATGTAAAGATCAGTTGTGTGAATATGTTAATAGTCAATAATGATATTGATTGTCTTGGTGTAACAATAGTTTATTGTTGATGTCATTGACAGTGTTGTTGTAAAGACAAAATCAACTTCTTTTAAAAATGATGCAGCTAAATTCTCAGATAGTATAAATCATATGATTTATATACATTTGTTATAGGAATCAGGTTATATAGTCAACAAGGTCAAGAAAAAAATGTATTAATCAATATTTCAATCCAAGAACATTTTATTTGAAATAAATATTATTGATAAATGGCATTGATCATTACATACATACATACATATATATATAGCTATAAGCCCAACGGTTTGCCAGATTTTCAGGCTACTTTACCACTACTATTATTAATATTAGTGGTAAAGTAGCTTAAAGTAGCCTGAAAATCCGGCAATCATTTGGGTCATTGATCATTATTTTCATTGTCTTAAGCAGGGATGGGCAACCTGCGGCCCGCAGTAATATTTTTTGTGGCCATGTTGCATAAAATATGAATAAATATATCAATTTCCCAGCTTAAGGAAGTATGCAGCAAAAATTCAAACATTATTTTTACAACTTATGTATGTGAATAGTTTTTCCACAATGAATTTAGTAAAAATTAAAACAAGAAACCGGCTAACAGATACATCAAAACTAATTTAAAACTAGCAGTGACTAATATTTAACCAAATATTTCCAATATATTACATTTACATCAGTTCCAGAAGCTAAATTACATACACTTATGCTATATATGAATAAATAATTGTGATTTACCAACTTTTTCCCCTTCTTTTCTCTTGTATGCAGCCCAAATCAGTGTAAAAGTTTTGAAATGTGGCCCTTATATAGATAAAGGTTGCCATCCCTGGTCTTAAGAATGATTCATGCATTACTGAAAGAATAAATACTGCTATAACGATATCTGTAAAGCCAAGTTTAGTAAAATTGAATGTGATTTGGGTCCTTAAAATGTTATACAAATAGATTTGTTCCATTTTTCAATTTTCATGTTGATTGTATCTGTTCTTTTTACAGTTGAAAGGGGCACCATCATGATAAGTGTTACAATGGTGTATTTTTCAAAAATAGAGAATGATGGGGTAGTTTTATGCATAATTTCTTTTCCTGCATTTTTGATAAATGCAGCTAATATGGATTCTTTGCCTTATTTGTGTAAAATCACAATTGTCTTATGACAAAATTATACCAGANATTTTTAGTTAAGTATTTAATAGTTTACAATTTATTGTAAAGATGTTTAAAAATATGTTAAAAGTTTAAATTTAAAATTTATTTGAAAGTTTTGTATTCGATTGTAGAACGGTAATGTCTTGAGGATGGCCTATTAGAAGTAGGCTGAAAATGTTTGAACAGTAAATAAATAATAAGCTTAGCAAATTGTTTGGTATTTGATTATAATTGTAAGTAAACTGCTGAGGAAGTGAGAGTAGTGCTGTAATAATTTTATATCACATTTCCAACTATCAGTTCCTTATATCAAAACGTTCAAAATTTCATCCTCTGCAATCCCCAATTTTTAAAACGTCATTTTGATACACCCTGTATAACTGGTACAATATAAGTTAACTGGTTAAAGAGACACTTTTGTTATTATATAATTTACTCATCTGCAATTTGTAAGTTGTTATATTTTATATTCTTTTGTTACTTAAACTGTAAAAGGAGTTTTGTTATTACAGTTTATTACATAGTTTTATTTGTACATGAACATTTTTATTTTATTTATTTTTTTTAATTAATAAACTTTCTTGACTTTTAAGATGTTCAGTGTCGCCATTATCAGTTTCGTTGCCAGAACAGCAGTGACTGTATTGCCATATATAATGTGTGTGATGGAATTCCACAGTGTCCTGATGGCAGTGATGAAAGTAGTGATTTACATTGTCCTAACTCTGGTAATACTAAACTATTTTATATTTTTATGTTTTGAGATTACATATATTCAATATACAAGGCCTTCCAAAAAGAATGCTACCATTTTTAATTATTGTAATTGTGTTAATTATTATCTGACAACCTTGTAATGTACAGTACATTAAATCATTGAAAAACTGTCCAACTTTCACATCCTACCCATTACAATTTTTGTGTGTGCATTACTTGTCACACAGCACACATCTGATCAATAGTCAGTCTTCCTACACTCACTATGGAAGATCCATTATTACTCTTCCCATGATAATTACAACACTAAGGCTCCTGCAGATTTCTCACATTGCACAATGACGAGTGATTCCGACTTTGCAAACTGCAGAACACAATGCCTTCTCTGTCATAGTTTCCATTTTTGTTTACAGTGCTTTTCAGATGACAAAACATTTGAATGCAGATGGGACATGAAACTTGAATGGTTACTTTCCTGATTGATGTACATCACATACTTTTCAGAAAATATTTACAGTAATTTAAAATGGTAACATTCATTTCACAAGATCATGTATTTTGAATGTATTTTTATGCATTATAATTTGTTCATTCTAATTTTGATATGATGGTGATTTGTTTTTTATAGGAATTTCTAAGTCTGACTCCTATTCAAACTCAAAAGAGCAATCTAAAGAAGTTAAACAAATTTCGACAGTTGTAACGGAATCATCAAAACTTGCACAGCCTGTACAGATTAATGGACAAGCTTCATTACACAGGACTTCTGAATATGAATATCCTGCACAAAGACAGGAAAACATGCAATGGAATGACAATTACCAACTTGAAAATGGTAAGCCAGTCTATTAATAACTATATAACAATTTGCAAAATTGTTAACAATAGAAAATAAACTTAATAAGAATATACAGTTGACCCCCCCCATAAAACGGTAGATACGTTCCGTTTTTTTATGAAATTGATGTTTTAGGAGACCTTGCCAATCACAGCCCGACACTTGTGAAGTTTACAGACTACAGCTGTTTGAAAGGTTTTCTTCCATAAAATTAATCAATTCCTAGACTAATTTGACTCAACATTTCCAAAACACGTATATTTTTTTGGGAATAATTCGTATAAACTATGCTATAAACAAAAATTGTAGGATTACTTACCGAGTGTGCACCGTTCGACATCGCCATTGCTTAAGCTTGTTTTTGTCACAGAGCAGCGCACTAAACGGCGGCCACGATTTCTGATTAATTATTTTTCTGCGAAAACTTCGTTGAACTTTGGAGACATCATTAATAGAAATAATTTTTATGGCTGTTGAATAAGAAATGTTTCTTTCACAAGAAATGTATAAAATTAGTGCTGTATTAGACTTACGGTACCTAATTTACATACTGTACAGACGATAGTAAACTCAATTAACCCACCTAAACTCTCCGTAGCATGGCACTGGACGGCGGAAAGTAGTTCGGCTGCCCAATGATGTTTTACCGAATTATAGGAGTTTTTTTTACCATGTTTGTACGGATACCGTTGCAATTTTTTTGCCGTCATATAGGAATCCGAACTGTAGGAACCCATGTTATAGGGGGTCAACTGTATACTTCATTGAACTTAGCCACTAATTTAACCAAGTTACTTTTAGTAAATATTTATATCAGTTTGTCAATTTAACCAAAATGATCTTACAAAATTAAATAAAAAATTTCTATTTATTATAATTGAACTTAAATTCCAGAATTATTCAATAAAAATTATAAAAGTCACTTTAATATTTAAAGTAATGATTTGTTATTTTAAAAACATTATACGAGGGTGGTTTTTTCAACTTCGATGGTCCATAAAACAAAGACAAGTGTAAATAATAAAATGAACTTATTACCAAAAGTTAGGTACAAACATGGTTACTTTTTGACATAATCACCGTGAAGATTGAGGTATTTGTCATATCTGTGGATGAGCTTTTTCATCCCCTTGAAAGTCTGAAGTCTTCACACATTAAAAAGTTTCAAGCTGGGTGGAAGTCTTCATCACCTTTAAACACCCAGCATATAGCCCTGATTTGGTGCCGAGTGACTTCCACCTCTTTTCTGAACAGAAAAAGTGGTCAGGAGGGCAGAGGTTTGAGACTAATGACAATTTTCAAAACATCAGGGCCCATCTTGAGTCATTGACAACAACATTCTATGAAGAGGAGATGAGAAAGCTCTTCCACAGATATGACAAATGCCTCAATTTTCACGGTGATTATGTCAAGAAGTAACCATGTTTGCACCTAACTTTTGGTAATAAATTTATTTTGTTATTTACTCTTGCCTTTTTTTTTTATGGACCATCAGAGATTGAAAAAAAAATAGCCTATGTATATTACCTTATCACTGATTCATCTAGTATTTTACTAATTTCCAATAAATAATGGTATTTATTTTTTATTTTGCAACAAAATTGTGCTAAGTGATTTGTTTTATACCAAAATCAAATTAAGAAAATATATTCCATGTGTTGACTGAAAAGAACATTCTATAAAATATTATGACAATAGATAATAACTATTAATGACACATTATCTGCTGTGTTCATTTATTATCAAAACATTCATTTTGCCCAGTAAGACATCAATAGTTTTATTAATTTAGAATAAGAACACCATGAAATGATACACACAACTACTTTATATTGTAAATATTTGTAGTTAAATGAATATACCAGATACATGTTAATGATCTAACAGATGTCAACAATTAAATTTATCCTTATTATTAAACACAATATCAAAACATCAGAAATGGATCAAATTAATTAATATTACAAGAAAAATACAATAAACTTGTATTTCAATCCAAAGTTAAAATGAAGACACCAAAAGATTTTTTTATCTGTGTAATGTGATAAACTATGATTTAATAATGTGTTTTATCCTTGCTTTGATAATCTTTTTTTGATGTTGGCACAATCTTATTTGCACACAACTCTAATCTTTTATCTGTTCTATTAATCATGACTGGGAAGTGAAGAAGGTTTAGTGATTAGTCAGTGTTGTTGTGACTGTAATCAAATATTAAATTATCTAAAAGATTTATGCAATATAAAACTGCAATAAGAAGAAAACAAAGATGATAACTAATGTCAAAGATTTTATAAATATAGGTGAATGACAAAAATTAGGTTTTTATCACAATGTTATGGAAAGTAGTTAATGCTTTTTCCAAAACATTATTGTCAAGCACAAAATAAACTCTGTTTATAAATCAATTATTTAAGCTTCACTTATTCTACATTTTCAATATTCTAAAAAATATTTATCTGGAAGCATTTGTAATATTTTTAAAAATAACTAGTATGGATAAAAAGTTTTGATTTCAAACAGGTTTTAATGATAAATTTGAAGTAGTTTTACCTGTTTTTGGTTTAATCTCATAATGAACAATCTTTTAAATTTAGTATTGTAAATGTTTTACTATTTTTTCTTAGTGGTGGTTTCTTTTTAATGACTATTGTTATCCAAGAAAATAATTTTGAGACAATGTTGGTAAATGTTGGTCCAGTATAGTGCAAAACTTGCTGTTGTTTGGTTAGCTAGCATTGGAAAACTATTTAATCACTTAACTTAATTAAAAACTGTTGATAAATTGTTATTTTTTTTAAACCTTTTTTCTTTACTTAATAATATCAATTTTTATGGAATAAACTTTTAAGTGTATAATGATTAGAAAACCAATATTATAAGAGAAACATTGATTGGAAATTCAGTCTGGTCAGCCATATTTTAACATTTGTGTATTGGTTCTGAAAATATACCAAAAAATGGTCAGCTTATTGTTATAATTACTAGAAAACATGTTCTACAATAGAATCTGCTTATTGTAATCACTTTAGGACTTAACTACAGTTATGACCAATAACATTAAGTGAGGTAAATAAAATGTGACTACTGATGGTAGAAATTTATTGATTGTGACTATAAAAGGACATTTACATTTTTTAATGCTTGTTTTTTTAATAACTTGATTTATTAATTATTATTATTAAGTAATAGTAATTCATCTGAAATAAAATTCACCGTTTTAAGTAGGTCTTGCACTAAAGTGATATTTCCGTTACAAATGTCAGAAATGGATCAAATTAATTAATATTACAAGAAAAATACAAGAATATATCTCAACATGTGATGGAATATGATTTAACAATGTGTTTTATAATTTATAATCAAAGTCAAACTAATTTATAATATTTTTTTATTACTGAATTAGAAACTTATGTGTACAATTCTTACAAAATTAAAATTATTAATCGAATTATTACATACTAGTCAATGCTATTAACTAAAGGTTCATTTATACAGAGAAAAAATATTGATGGAGAATAACTGAATGTTTATACGTAATCACAATAAAAGTAATATTTCCTATAAATTATTATAAAAATTAAAATCTCTTTTTAATATAGAATGCTACATTTTTAAAAAACAGTTAAAACATAACATCAAATGTTTTTATATCTTTATTCTTTCAGCACAAGATACTCCACATTTTTTCAATCATAAATACAGTAATTTTCTTGCGGCAAACAGTAACAAGAACAGTAATAATAATAATAATAATAATAATCACGGAGCCTATCCAAATCAATGGAAAGATTATTACGATGTGTATAATGGAAATGTACCTCAACAACTGAATTACCAAGATTATACTAATAGTTATCAAAATGCAAATCGAAGATATCCTAAAGGCCACGTATCAAACAACAATCACTATAATTCGTATCAAGACAATGGCTATTATTTAACACACATGGAATCTCTTCCAAGTTATAATGAAAACGTGAGAGATGGTAAATATATTTAAATGATTAAAATTTTTTACATAAATAGTTTTTTATAGTTTTTAATAAAAATATTAAATTAAGAATCTACTTTGCAATATTTTTCAGGTATTTTATTTTGTTTTTGGTGAGTTAATAACAATATATTAATTAATTAATTCAATTTTTTTTACTTTCCTGGCCGTTATGTATACATAACAAGGGAAAGTATTGGAACTGTGTCAAATTTGATTGAGTTTTTTGCAAATCTCCATGTTTTAAGACTAATAAAAAAAAGGGCAAAAAAATTCTGTTTGTATGTTGGCATCTATTTCACTTAATATCTCAGGATAGGGTAAAGATTAAGTAACAAAATTTGGCACTTTGGCTTGTATATGAGGGGCATTGATGCTATTAAATTTTTTGGTTAAAGGCCAAGGGGGTGGGGAGATAAAGGGGGTTATGTGTATCTTCAGTAGGGTTGGACTTAATGACAATTTTACTCATTATTAACATTTATACTTTTTTTTATAAAATTCATCTTATCAAAAACTTTGTCCACCATCCAGAGATAGGTGGAAGTCTTGCTACAGAACTCTGTCTCTTTTCATACCATTGGCTGGTATGCAAATTTGCATGAACAGCAACTGCTACTTGTCTTGCTACTAGCACTCCAACATTGCCAGCATTGTTTGCTTATTTGTTATGGCACCATTGCAAGAGTGCATGGAAAAGCATGGACTGCTACAGAGTGGATTCTCACAGTTATAACTGTGTAGAACTTTCGTTCCCTGCTCTCTACAGATTCTAATATAACACACATTAATTTATTAGACCATGGGTTGCCAAAGTGGTCGATATTGACCCCTAGGGGTCGATGTAACATTATTGGTGGGGTCGATGTGGCTAGGGGGTCAATTGGGGGAGTCAATGTGGCTAAGGAGTCGATTGGGGGGTAGATGGAAAAATTGAAACTAAAAATCACAAATTTAACTATACATATTATTGTTTCAATGAATTTAATAGTACAGATACCTGTCAACATGTAAAATGGCTACGGATCAAGTTGCACAGGATGGACAGAAATTGCTGAGTCCATGCTCTGGTTCTTACTTACATAGCACGTCAAGCATTCATAGCATTCATAAGCTTGTATTCTCAGTATGCTGACTAGCAATTCTATAGTTGTTTTTAGATGCTGTTCATTTAATTTTAGTATTCCATGTAAATGCTGTAAAGTGTTCTATAAAGCGAATAAAAGTAACTACTACAAGTTTCTAACCAAGTTTCGGTTGCTACAGCTTCACTAGTGACCCAACCACTGCTCACTAGCTGCCCCTTAATGGCTGCTTAATTTTCAAAATTACATTCTGAAAAGTCAGGGTTCCTGGAATGAAGCAATTAGAAAAAAAGATTTTTTATTACTACTATCTCTCAATGGGGTAGACCAAATTAACTGTTGTAAACCAATTAGAAGATTTTGTATATAACTATGAAACTTGAAGAGGTCAAGACAAAGGTTTATAGAAGGTAAGCAAATTTTATTCGATAAAAATACTGGCATAGAAAGCTAAATAATCGGTTTTTTTTTTTTAACGAATTTTGTTTGCTAGAATCAGACTCCAGCACGGGCGTTGAGTCCCACTTTGGTCAAGGGCGGTAACGGGCTTGCGTTGTTATTTTTAGATCCAATAAACTACGCACTGCGGTTTTTGGCTGTGTATCTATTTGTTAAAAGAAAAAAAAGTATACGCCTAAAGCAGCAACGCCTCGTTTATTGGATTTAAATATCCAAAAAAGCTAGGATTGATGAAGCAGTGGCAAGCTAAACTCAGTTAGAAAATTGTAGTTACTTTTGTTTGCCTTGATACAATGTAACTTCATTTTTTTTATTATTTATAGAATCCTAATTCTGCAATAGCAGCTTCAGTTTCTAAAAAAAAAAAAAATGTCAACAATATTCATTGGATTATTTAAAGTTTGGATTTATTCCTTCTCCAACAAATGAAACAATACCTATGTGTCTTGTGTGTGAGAAAACTTATAAATGATGCGATGAAACCAGATAAAATGAAAGGCCATCTTGAGAGAGTTCATTCTGATAAAAAGGATAAAGATCTTGATATTTTTAAAACACTTAAAAGAAAATTTGCAACACGACTAAATATAAAAAGTTTTATGAAGCCGTCTGCTTCTTCTATAATTGATGTTGAAAGAGGCTTAATCGCTTCATACAAGATTTTGCTCAATATAGCAAAAAAGGGAAAACCACACACAACTGCAGATGATATAGTTGTACAGTACTTGTAATTAAAGATGTCATTGAAAATGTAATGAAAAAAGACTCTGTTGATAATTTAAAGTGCTTACCATTAAGTGCGAATTTAGTAAAATGGCATATTGACGAAATGGCTGAAAACGTCGAAAATATAGTAGTTTCAGAGCTCAAAAATTGCAAATTTTCTATTCAACGTGATGAGTTTGTTTTTGGTGTTTCTTCTCTTCTTATTGCTTATGTCAGATATTTTAGTAAAAGTAAATGTCAAATCATTGATGAATTTTTATTTGCTAAATATCTTGAATGTGATGGAAAAGGTCTGACAATATATTGGAATTTAGAATAATATTTGAATAAATACGACATTCCAGTTAACAATATAATAGCAGTAGCCACAGATGGTGCACCTGCTATGGTAGGCCGTTACCGAGATTTTGCAACTTTTCTTAAAGAAAAAGTCCTTGGAATACGTACTGTTCACTGTGTGTTGCATAGAAACCACCTTGTAGCAAAATATCTCAGTCCAGATTTGCATAGTGCTTTATAGTTTTGTATTAAATTTATTAATCAAATTAGAGCCCATCCTCTTAAATCGAGATTGTTTTCCAAACTTTGTGAGAAAAATGACGAATTAACAAACCAGTTACTTTTACACACCGAAGTCAGATGGTTGTCTAGAGGTGCATGTTTACAAAGGCTCATTGAGTTATTTGATTCTACGATAGAATTTCTTACTGAAATAAATTCTGTTCTGAGTGATGAACGACAAAAACTTAAGAACCACATTTTTTACTTAGCAGACTTATTTGTAAAATTCAATGACATTCAAACAAGGCTCCAAGGTGAAGATGTCACAATTATTCAAGCTCGGACAATTCTTTTAGGCTTCGAAGTTAAATTAAACTTGTTTAAATCTTCATTGTTACGTAAAGATTTTCAGTACTTTCCAAATCTAAGAAAATTGCAAATAATAGATGAAGACTTGGAAATATATACAAATCATCTTCAAAAATTGAGCGATGATTTTAAAGTGCATTTTGCAGATTTAGAAAATTTCGATATCCCAGAATGGATTATGGCACCATTTTCCGCTCAGATCGGAAACATTGACATCAACCTGCAAGATGAACTTATAGAATTATTAGAAGACCTTGAAGCAAAAACACTTTTCAAAAATTTAACTTTAAGCAATTTCTGGACGAATGTAAACATAACAAAAAAATACACCAAACTTTGTGATATTGTAAACCCTTTTTTGTTGGCATTTCCAAGTTCATACATGGTTGAAGCTGGTTTTAGCCATGTTAATTCCATCTTAACCAAACAGAGAAATAAGTTAAATGTGGAACTTTGAGGCAATTTAACACTAAAGCTAATAAATTTTGACCCAAATATTGCTAATCTTCCAAAGGAACATCAAGCTCACCAGTCTCACTGATTGTCAGTTACAAATAAATCTAAAGTATGTCAAATTAAAGGAAATACATAGTAAAATCATTTCTCTTTCTTTCGTTTTTTTTTTTTTCCTGTTGCACTTGTAGTAAAACTTTACGGTGGGGGTCAATGTGAGGTTTTGGAAAGTTGTTGAGGGTCGACGGTTAAAAAAGTTTGGCGACCCCTGTATTAGACTGTAATTATCTACATTCCTTTTGATGATTGATGAATGTTTTTCTTTATTGGTGAAATTTTCTAATATAATTCTGTCTTGTACAGTTAGTACAGTCGACCCCCGTATAAGATCATTGATTATTCCGTTTTATATGAATTCCATGTTGTACGAGTCACTTAAATTTTACAAATACATGAGCCGTTTCACAGCCCGGTACACATATTTGTAAAATTAAAGTGACTCGTACAACATGGAATTCATATAAAACGGAATAATCAATGATCTTATACGGGGGTCGACTGTAGTTACATTTGTTATTGTTGCTATTTTTTATAATAATCTGTAAATATTATAAATTTTATCATATAAATAATAATAATAATAATAATAAAGTCTATATAAACTTATTATTTTTCAAAAATAGATAAGAATACATCATTTATTTGATGGATTCATTAAGTAGATAATTTTTTTTAATAAAATCAAAAACCAGACTTTAAGTGACTTTAAATGAAATTATCATAAGTAATCAAGTTATAGGCAATTTACTAATTAAATTGTCATCCATAAAGTTATCACAAGAAACAATTTCATACGTGTGTGCATTTATTTTCCACTATGTAAGTAGGTATTTGCATTATTGAGAAAGCAGAATGATAATATGGGTGCAAAGCTATTACTCTGTTCTTTTCCATTTACTTCTAAACAACACAATCTTGTCTTAACATAAGATGTTTATTTAAAATTCAAGAATTTAATACAAGTTACAGTCAATGAATTCTTATTGAATTTCTATTTCATGTATGGTAAAAACTCAAGATTGTTGACACGTAGTTAAAGAAATATATCAATTAATTTAACATTTAGTACATATACTTGCATCCAAAAATAAGCATATCATTAATTTTGCCTATATTCAGGAACTGATAAGAACAATGTGAAATTAACATATAATTAGAACATTGTATTTTTCATGCATAAAACAACAAAAATTTTAACTAGATTATGTCAAAACAAAAACAACAAGCAAATTTACTAAGCATTATTGTAAATGTTTTTGCACAGGAAATGATATTGTAATATATCATGTGAGTGCTTCTTGCATATACTGTACATATTTTGCACATCAATTATTTGTGTTGGTTATAATGTTGTTTATCAGCTCTATTGGAAGAAAAGTTCATTCTTGAACAAGAGCATCTTTAAGCTCTTTAAGTGTTCTTGATGAAGTCTGATTTGATGCACCTTGTCTTCCTAGAGTATCCACAAATGTTCTGTATGATATAGGTTCAGAGATCTTGCCAGCTAAGCCATGTGACAAATATCTTCATTTTCATGAAAGTCACTGAATGCAGTCCTATGCATGGACATTATCATCCATAAAAATGAAATCTGCATTCACACCTTAGAAAAGATTCACTTGGGGTTCAAAAACTTCATTTCTACGTTCTTGAAGCAATGATATCCCTTGCAAAAACATGGAGTCTAGTACAGCCATTAAGCATAATGCCATCCCAGATCACAGTAACACTACCTACAAACTGGTCTCTATCTATGATGTTCATGGAAAGAGACCAGTATTGTATTGCATTTCTTGCTCTCTCCAGATTCTAATTCAACAAGAATTATTCTGTAGACTGTATCTGAATTGGATAATTAGACTTATTTTTTGACATTAGTGGGTATATGTATTATTAATAATGATAGGGATATAATAAAGGATGTTTTGACAACACATTTCTACCATATCTCAGGAATTTCCAACAAATACTGATAGTTTATTTGAATACTTTTCATGGATACAGTTTACTTTTAAATTTGATGATACTTCTTGTTTCTGAGTTGTATAAAATAATATAAATTAAATTTATAGTTAATTACAATAATATTTTTAAATTTTAATTTAGATTCTGATGCAGATATTCAAAGTAAATCTCCTGGTTTTATGGAAAGTCAAATGTACCAGCAACAGAATCAATGGTATTTTTAATTTTTAATTTATTACTTTTTTTAAATTAAAATTTTATTATTGGTGATTTCAATAAACTGTAGAGGGCACTGTATAAATTTAAAAAGACGAATACATACAGGGCAAATTTGTTTTTATTAACAATAAATGTATGTGTTGTTAATGTGGATATAGGTTCAAATATTTGAAGGTGAAAGTGTAATGAATTAAAATTATATCGTATTAATCAGATTTCAAGAAAAGAGTTTGGTTAAGATTATTCTTATTGGATTGTGCTTGCAGTCATTTGGCATTCATTCTCCATTTCATAAAATCAGTAAAACTAATCATAAAGAAAATTTAATAACAATAATTATAAAGGAAGTAATCCAAATGTACGTGTATTGCAGGAAGTTATGAAAATGTCACATTTATATATTATTATTGTTTGCTTATAGGAGTTGCATTTTAATGTAGGTTTATAAATAGTAATAATTTGGATATCAAGACATTTAGATGCAAAAGCATTATTTAACGCCTTTTATAATTACTCTCATTTCAGAATTATTGGTTTTGCATATAATTAGTAAGTGGCAAGAGGAGTAAAACTCAGATGGTGAGAGGTCTGGTGAATATGATTGATGGGTAGAATTTCCCAAGAAGGGATGAAGCTTTTACTGGGTCATTTTTGAAGTGTGAGATTTTACATTACCTTGAAGAAAAACAATGCTTTTGCAATTAATCAGCATTGGCTGTTTTTGGAAAAGCTTCTCATCCACACATTGTATCTGAGCAGAGTGAACATCCCAATCACACTACACCTTACACTTTTCAGCACTAGTTTAATTAAAACAAGTGTTTTCAACCCCGTTCAGAGGTCTGCCTCAGGTTAAAAATGTATTAAAATATAAATTAAAGAAATGAGTTCTAATGGTAGAACTATAACCGCTATTTTTAAACACAAAACGACTTCCAACAACTTAACACTTTGTTGAGTAATAATAATCCACGAAAACCTTTCTGTACAAGTGTTATGTTCTTAACTACTCCACAAACGCTTTCGACCTCCACCGAGGTCTGCTTCAGGTGGTGACTGACCGTCGTAGCGATGTCGCCAGAGATGTAAATAATCGTGCGCGTCGGGTTTCACCCCTTTGACTGTCCCTGTTCAAATTCCTCAAACAAATACCTCCACACCTGCGCGATCATTTCACCATCTTTGTACAGAAAGTACAGTATCATCTTTGGTACAGTACCATCTTTGTACAGAACCTTTCTGTACACTTGTACAGAAAGGTTTTCATGGATTATTGCTATTTTTAAGTTTACAACATTCAAAAAACAAATGATTTACCTATTTTAAAAGTTCTACAAACAAATAATTTACATACTTTTATAATAAATAAATAAAGATAAATAAATTCATTAATTAAAATAAATACAAAAATAAAATAAATTAAAATAAAATAATAAATTGTTAATAATATGTGTAATTATACATATTATTAACAAAAGTTTTTTAAACCAAGCCAATGTTGTTCTCTTGCCTCATTGGGTTATCAACTAGAGACTGCTGCGCTTTGCATAACATTCCTTTCTTCTTGAAGTTAATGCAGATTAACTTCTGAACAGATTGTCTTACTGTTGAATTGTCTTTATATATTAAAAGTGCAAGCTCTCTATTTATGTTTGCAAATTGTTTAATATATTACTTTTTATCATTTTCAGGACTGACCAAAATCCTCAATATCAGTCCAATCAAGGCTATAATAACAATATGTTACCTTATATTGTCAAAAACCAAGGATCATATAATACACTTCCCAAATCAAAATTGCCAATGCAAGCCCATAATTATCAGTCAAAAAGTAGTTCGAACGGAGAGAGAGACGAAAACTTTCAGTCAGTGCAGCCACAATATCCTTTGCATAATGGTATTTATATAATTTAATGACTTTTATACTATGATTAAATACTATTAATTACAAATTGTCTATTTATAATTAATATTTTTTAACTCAATATAAATTAGTTCTTGTAATTTTTTTCTTATTTAGATTATATATATTATTTATTATAATCAATAAATTATTTAAGACAGTCTTAGATTAAAATATTTAATGTTTATATAGAATAACTATTGAAGTAATGAAAAAATTGTATAAAATACATAAGACTTTTTTATTACATGTAGGAAAAGCGAGATTAATTAGTAAAATTTTCATGTTGCCATATAATTGTTACAATATAAGATTACAATTGTCTGTTGTGGTTATTTTCTAAACGGATTTTTAGAAGCCTGATTGTTGATTGCACTTGTTCTTTAATTATCATCCACCAGGGTGCTTGCATGGAGAGACAGCGGGAAGTGCACTCACGGCAAGGAGTATTGGTGGTATGATCCCATTAATTCTGATATTTTCTGGAGACCCAACAGGATTAAAAGTGGGCAAATTTCTTGAATCAATAGATGAGATTGTGAAATTGACAGGATGAACAAAACATCAATGCTTAGGGATCACAAAACTATGGCTAACAGACATTGTGAGAGAATTCACGTGGTAAGATGCTTGCATAAAAGAAACCGAGATATACAACAACTTCAAATAAGAAACGATAAAGAGGTTTGAAAAAGAGCCTTATTCACTTCAACTTCAAAGATTTTACACATGTGTACAGGAGAACAAAGATGCAAACCCTAGTATCCAAGATGATCATAGAGCAGGCTAGTGATGACACCCGTGAATCAGAAATTATAAAAAGATGTCAACTCAAAGAAAGGGACAAGCAGTTAAGAATACAATTTTTGAGCAACCTTAATCTTAGAATTAAAAGACAAGCGATATCTTGAGAACCAGATACTTTTGATAGAGCAGTACAGATGGTCATCAGCGAAGAAACAATATATCAATTGAGTAGCAAATCTGTCATTAGAGTGATAGACAAAGGCAAACGAGCAGACTATACTAATAGAAAAATAAATCAGATGATCAGGAAAAATTAGGCAAATTAAGAGTCACAAAAGTCAGAGAGACGAACCTAGATATAGAAATCCTCCATTTGCGTGGCAAAAATGCTATCAAGATGATAGAAATAGATTTAGAGATCAACAGAACAACTCGAGAAACATAGTAGGCTGCTTGCAAACTCGAAGAAACAATTTCCGATGTGAAACAAGAGATAGAACAAGCGGCTCATGAACTAATGGGTGAACTCAAATGAAATGACCTCAACCCTAAATACAGTGGCATGAGAGAAGAAACAACAGAAACCGGTGAGAAAATAGAGGAAGCTATAGGCGGGATAGACAAGATAAAAGTCTCAAGATTCAATGAAACAACAAATTATCCTAAGGATAGAGCTCAAGATGAGGAGCTGAGATTATTCTGTCAAATTAATGACGCCAAGATGCAATTAGCTGTAGACACAGGCTTAAAAGTGGCGCTGTTATCAAGGTCACTAGCACAGAGAATAGGCAAACTTCATAGAGCATACAATAGAAGAGAGATATTGTTCCGAAGCATCACTGGACACAAAAATCTATCCATATGGAAGAAGCACATTCCAATTCAAAATAGGCCCTCTACAATTTCTTTACACATGCTGCATCATTGATGATCGAATCACATATCCATTCGACGGATTAATAGGAAGAGATATAATTACGAAACAATATGGCGGATGAAACAATAACACTTCCCGACAGAAGAGGAATAAGCTTCCAAGAGCCTTCCGAGTCAAGGGATACCACCAAACAAGTATGAGCAAAAAGAATCTTGACTGACAGAGAAACTGTTGTGAAAGTTGTCTGACCATGGAAAAGAGCCCAAGAATTAGGAGAGAAAATTAAAGATAGACCTCAAGAAAGGAAGAAGAGAGAAATTTAATCAGAGAAACTACTAACTCCTAATAATAAAATTTACACTCCTAGGAAGAAAAGGATCAATTGAATGATCCAATCCTCGGAAGAAAAGGATCAATTGAATGATCCAATCCTCAGAAGAAAAGGATAACGAACCAATCTCAATTTCCCCAATGGAAAGGAAGCGAACCTTAGAAACAAGGAGCAACTCAGAACCGGAAATGAATCCTAAATCAACCGAAGTAGAAGTAAGAAACAAGGGAAAGCAAGATCATCTAGATGCAACTCAAAAATGAGAGAAACAACTGGAGTTCACTCAAACACTAAATCTTAAAATATTATTCAAAGTTCTAATAATCCTTCTCATTATGATACTCACAATTTTAGGCATCCCGTTTTTGACCATGGTCATTTTCTCGAGATCATCAACATTGTCACAAGGTCAAGGAACTCTAGACACAATGCCAACTACGATGCTACATCTGCCGTAAAGCCACATATCCATTATAAAGTGATCTCCAATATACACAAATAAAGTCTGACTGAAACCAAATCCAACGAAAAAAATGATCGCGACAATTAGCAGAATTAATTAGTAAGCCCAACATCCCACAAGAAAGTGAAAGAGCTGTCACAAAAGGGCAATGAACAGATAGGAATGGTGAGAATCAAAATTTTAGATAGAAGATACGATGCGTGCCATAGAACTTCCATGCAGAATAAAACAAAAAAAAATGAGAGAGAGTAATTCGTAAAATTTAATTTGTTGTATGAAAGGATCAGAAAAAAAGCATTTATTGTCAAGAAAATATGAATGAGAAATAATTGTTGGAATAAAAATTGAATGAGAAGCAATTGTACTACATTACGATGAAATTGTCGGAAATCGTTGGTTACATTGATAATATTTTGATGTTGGAAGTAGAATGATTTTTTGTAAATGTTGATGACAGCATTTTGTTAATGTTACTATAACTCGTTAAAAGAGATAGAGAAACATCTTTCATTGTAATTGAAGACCTATTGCAAGGAGCAAAGTGAAAATTGAACTTGCTCTTTTGGGAACAAGCATGATTTTGGAAAGGCTGGGGTGATGTGAGATCCCAGACTTAATGAAAAAAATTTTTTCAAAAGGAAAAAAAATCATGAAGGATATGGCTTTTAACTTTTTCCACAGACTTGCTTCCTTGTTTAACCCTTTCTTTACCACCGGCGTAAAAATACGCCGGAGCGTACACCGTAATTTTTAATGCTAATGTTTAATTAAACATAAAAAATACTTTAAACTGAAAAAAAACGAAAAAAATGCGTTAATTTTGAAGAAAAAGCTTCAAACTTTATTTTCCTTTGTCTCGTCTTTCTGTGAAATATAACACGATGAGTTATTATTTACACAGCTGGGTGACCTTGAACACAGCTGGAGTCGGATTTCCCGGGGCATTCTCATAAACGTCTCGGGAGGACAAGGGTTTAAAGTAGGGTCAAGGTGAATTAATCGTATATTTTTAAATGTTTTTAAAAAATTAAAATTTTAATTGCGATTTCCGACCCCCCTAATTAATTAAATTAATATAAAATAAAATATATTAATTAAAAAAATTAAAAAACTATCGGAGGTCGTTTTTGACATCAAAAAGCAGCTTTTAATAACTTTACCGAAAAAAAATCCGTGCGCTACAACTTAGGAACCATGAAATAAATTTGATAAAAAACTCCCATTGAAAAACAATTGAGCCTTAACAGAGGCTCATTAAAATCGCGATAAAATTTTTTCGTGCGGACAAAAAATTCTGAAAAAATTTGGGGACCTAAAAAACATTTTAAAAATTCAAAAAAAAAAAAAAAATTTTGGGAAAGGGCCGAAAGTACCGAGTTTTATGAAACTCTATGGAACTTGCCCGAGGTTTTTCGGGATGTTGATTTTAAAGGGTTAAGGTGACACATCTAATGTGTCACTGGGAACTAATAGAAAAATTGCCATTGGACCATAGAACTAAATAGTACCAAAAAAGGGCAAGAGCAGTGAGGGGAGGACCCCCAGAATAAAAGAATGGGGTCTGATGATACAACAAAGTTTGCTGTTATCAATAGTTCATTCTTTTTAGACTAGTGTTCTCGCCCAATCCTTTTTGGATACTGCTTAAGTTGCCATCACCCATCCTCTGCCCTTCTCAAGACATCAAGAGACTTCCATTCTTTTTGATTCATCAAAGCTTCTTTCGAACCTTGTGGACCAGGAGTACATCGATCTGCCGATTCTCTGATTCTGAAAAGGAACCAACTTCTACTTACTAAGGTATTTACTGAAACGCAAACGATTGTAAACTCTCTCTCTCACAGTCAGGGACCCACGATCTTAACTATAAGGGTTACCTTTTCCTCTACATGTTTTATATAATTAGCATTAGCTGAGCATCTTAACCAACTTCTATATACATTTGTAAAAAGTATGTGTATGTAAATAAACGGGTATTGTTAATTGTTAAATTCGTTATAGCATGCACTTCTTCCAGTTCTCTCAGACCATCTCCATCCCAGCTCCAAGCATCTACACATGTGGCCACGCACAAAAAATGAAAATAATGGTTTCTGTGTCTGTCCAAAAGACAGTGTTGACACCACTTGACCAAAGGGTCGACATCGCATTGGCGATATCGACTCTTCGGTCAAGTGGTGTTGAAGCATAGGGGGCCCTTTGCGCATAATCACATCATACTAATGATTGAAGAAATCAGGGAACATTGTTATACTGGAAAATTTTGAGCTATAAATATGGTGTCAATATTAGATATACAAAAAAAAGAGAATGATTTTTACAGGATATTTTCATCAAAAGATTGTAGGCAATATCCAGCACCTACAATTTTTTAGTTTCTTATGTGTTGCTTGTGTACTTCAACAGTATTCATTAGAGTGCATTGTTTTGTATTCAGCAATTGATTCATGTTATGAATTTGTGTATTATATTTTTGGCTTATTGTATTATATTATAAATATATTTATATATTTATAAATATACAGTATATTTGACTGAAATGAAGCAAATATCAAAATAATTAACAAATTTAAAAT